GACATTACGGGACATTACAGGATATCCAGTGGATTTTGTACATGTCCCGGGATGTCATGGGACATTCTGGGATATCCTATGGCATTCGTACATATCCCGGGACTTTACAGGATATCCTGAGGTTAACTTACAAATCCCGGGACATTACGGTATATTGTAGGATATCCTGTGGATTTCGTACTCGTCCCGGGATTTTGCGGGATATCCTGAGGATAGCGCACATATCCCGAGACATTCTCAGGACATATGGGACTACTATGGGATGTCCCTGGGATAAAGTGTGCTGTCTGGGTAAGACTACATCTGTTTCATGGTTCGATCGGAGCACATAATCAGGTCAGAAGAATGTCATGTAGTCAACTCTCATGGTAGTCAGAACCTAATCTTAACATTGGATATTCCTCGTAGCGGAGTTCGTCCAAAGTTTAATAATAAATAGGTAACAAAACACATATCACACGGAAACACAAAACACCAAGTGTTTCCGTATGTTATGTGTTTTATCCCAAAGTGTGCAAAAGTCTTTGACCTCATGGTGTGCTCCGTGCTCTGTTCGATACAGTGAAACAGCTGTAGTCTTATAAACTTTTAACAAACTAAAAAGGATTGTTTTGACAGTAACGAGGTAATTTAAACTTAAACCACACTAGCTTCTCAGGGGGCTGGTCAGGAACTTATGAGAACCTCTTCTGCGAAGGAGTGAGGGATTGTGGGAGAGCCCCTCAAGTCAATTTAAAAAAAATATATAAAAAATAAATATGATTATAATATTAAAATCAATTATTATTATTAAAAATTTGCCTTATTTTTTTAATTATAAAATAATTTTTTTATTATAAAATTCCTTTTATATTTATAAAATAATTTTTTAATTTTTTTTTATTATAAAATTAAACTGTCATAACCTAACCTAACCAACCAAACTTGCTGGTAATATAAAAAATATACAAAATAAAAATCTGATGAAGGTTTACTAATAAAAATAGTTCTGTTCATAAAATCTATACTTATAAAAGGCAAAGCCCTCACTGACACACTCACTCACTCACTCATCACTAATTCTCCCACTTCCCATTTACCTAGGAGGCTGAAATTTGGTACACCGATTCTTTAGGTATTACATAGGAAAACTAAGTTGTTTTTATTCTGATCTGACCCTCGGGCTCCGCCCCAGTGGCTCTGGAGTTTCCCATGTTAACCTTATGGTTTTTCATATTTAAAAGGAATTAATGAATCTTATCAGCTGTTTCAATTAAACAAGTTGGTTCTGTTCTATGATGTTCAATAGCATTAAAGTTACAAGGATTACCAACAGGGTGCAGCACTATTATGTTTTTTAATTTATGACAACAGCTAATTTGCAACCAAAAGGTGAGTGAGCGTAAGGAACGAACTTCAACCTGGAGGTGAGTTAGCGTAGCGAACGAGTTAACCTGAAGGCAAGTGAGCGCAGCGAACGAGCTCCAACCTAAAGGTGAGTGAGCGTAGCGAACGAACTTCAACCAGGACGTGATTGAGCCATGCGAACGAGCTCATCTTGAAAATTAAGAAGTTAAACGAGGCAAAGCCCGTGGGTACAGCTAGTCTATATATATAAAAGCAAAGCCCTCACTGACTCACTCACTCATCACTAATTCTCTTACTTCCCATTTACCTAGGAGGCTGAAATTTGGTACACTGATTCTTTAGGCATTAAATATGAAAACTAAGCTGTTTTTATTCTGATCGGACTCTTGGGCTCCGCCCCAGTGGCTCTGGAGTTTCCCATGTTAACCTTATGATTACTCATATTTGAATGGAATTAATGAATCTTAACAGCTGTTTCAATTAAACAAATTGGTTCTGTTCTATGATGTTCAATAGCATTAAAGTTATGTTACAAGTATTACCAACAGAGTGCAGCACTATTATTTCTTTTACATTTATGACAACAGCTAATTTGCAACCAAAAGGTGAGTGAGGGTAGCGAGCGAACTTCAACCTGGAGGCGAGTTAGCGTAGCGAACGAGCTAACCTGAAGGCAAGCTAGGAGGATTAAACATTAAGGAGAGGACACGCTGTAGTTTCGTTGAAGCCAGCGTACTCGGGAGGGGGGGGAGGCAGCGCTACTCTCCCGCCCCCCTCTCATACTGCGTTGTATGCGTTACTGGAAAATTTGGTCAGAAATATCAATTAACTATTTAAAAATTAGACTTCATCATCCTACGAAAATTAAAAAGTTAAATTCTAACCGTAATATTAGGAACCTATTAAGAGGAAAGTCATATTTATGAACCAACTAGCTGTGTACCCGTTCTACGCACGGGGATCTTATAATATTCAGTTGAAACCTTCTTATATAAAGAACAGCAGTTGGTTTGCATATTTTAAGATATGCTGGCCAAACTATTATACATAGCTTCATTTTATGTTGTTTTTTGTTGTTCCGGATCGGTATGACAATCAATAAAAGGTTAAATTACCTCTGTGTCTGCCGGTCGATCCTATAACGGTAGGCTTACTTTTATTTTTACTATCTGATCTCGTTTGCATGGCTCAATCACGTCCTGGTTGAAGTTCGTTCGCTACGCTCACTCACCTGTATGTTGGAGCTCGTTCGCTGCGCTCACTTTCCTTCAGGTTAGCTCGTTCGCTACGCTCATTTGCCTTCAGGTTAGCTCGTTCGCTACGCTCACTCGCCTCCAGGTTGCAAATTAGCTGTTGTCATAAATGTAAAAGAAATAATAGTGCTAGTGCTGCACCCTGTTGGTAATCCTTGTAACTTTAATGCTATTGAACATCACAGAACAGAACCAACTTGTTTAATTGAAACAGCTGTTAAGATTCAATAATTTCATTTCTCATAAGGTTAACATGGGCTTCCAGAAATTCCACGTCAAAAATCGACAAAAACTTGATTTTCAAGGGTTTACTGTTAAATATCTAACTGTCTCATATTCGATGAAATACGTCTAAAACCATCTCATATATGTATAGTATTTGGAAAATAAGTTTCAGGCGGGACAGTGCTATAGTTATTGAGGAGTAGTTGTAATAAAGTGCGTATTTTAGCGTTACCAAGAGAATGACAGATAGACAGACAGACAGACAGACAGAAATTGAGATAAGGTTTGATTCGGTTTCTCTGACCTATGAAATGTAAAAATAACCAAAAAGTTCATTATTCTAAGCAATGTACAGACAAAACTCTAATTTTATTTATATAGATAGTACGTTCAAAGGTGAGTAATTAATCTACACAAGGATGACTTATTTTTTGGAATTCGTTGTCCTTGTTTTTATTTTTTGCCATACTTGTATTGTGTATTATTTATAATACTCTAACCAGAGCGCGGGACTCCGGTTCATGGGGTCCCGGGTTCAAATCCCGCCATATCACCAATGGATTTTACTGTTCATAAATTAAAACTCAAATCATGAGTAGTACTGTATGTGTATTTGAACATTTTCTTAAAGAGAAATAAAATAAGTTTTAATCCTTTAAAATAATGATAAACGCACCTTGGCGGTCAGAAGACGTGATGATTGTTGAACATTCACACTTTTTACTCGAAGTTTCTTTAGGTAAACAGATCAAATGTAGTTCAATATGATATTTAAAAAATCAAGAATTTGATTGCCAAGAAATTGTTTTACTTTTTATGATTGTAATTTAATTGTAACGAATGTTGGTGTAAAAAAAGTTAGAGCGGCTTTCATTTTTTCTTAACTTTGGCTATTTAAAATCACCTGCCTAGCACATAAATGACTTAAAACTAGTAAAAAATTATATTAACAAATCGAGAAAACTATGAAAAATTCAAATTTAAAATTTATTTCATCACCCGAATTAAAATTTTCATTTTAACCTATTATTAGTAAGATTGTTTTATCAACTGGAAAAATAAAAAAAGACTTTATTGTAATTATTTTTCTAAATACCACTTTTAAATATAGGTAAATATATATTTTTTATTTCGAGAAACTCTTAAGGAACACGAATAAATTGTTAATTTGTGTAGATACATCATATTTTTTTTTCAAAAACGTAATTAAAGTAATCATATGTTCAAAGTCCAGGTCAATTCTTTCAACTTTGATCTTCAATAATAAATAATAAATAATGTTTTTTATAGGAATGATTGACACTGTTCGATAGGAAATTTAATTTACTTTAAGAATGCCATCGGTGAATAACACAGGTGATTTAGTTTAGCGGCAATTTTAATTCGAAACAGCGCGCGTCGCGTTTTTCCCTATCTCTCCCATGTTATAGCCGAGGCTTTTTGCCACTCTACGGCTCCGCGTGCCCCTCTAGTGTTCTGCTAAAGCTGGCTTCACCGCAACATGTGTATTCCTATTCGCGTGCCCTCTCCTTAATGTTTAATCCTCCTAGAAGGCAAGTGAGCGCAGCGAACGAGCTCCAACCTAAAAGTGAGTGAGTGTAGCGAACAAACTTCAACCAGGACGTGATTGAGCCATGCGAACGAGCTCACTTATTAAGTTAAATGGGGCAAAGCCCGCGGGTACAGCTAGTAAAATTATAAATACTTCAAATTCTAACAAAAGATAGAAAGGTTAAGAAGTAATCGCGTTCCAAGCAAAATCTTTGACAAAAAGTTCATGTCACCAGTGGGATTCGATCTGGATACTTCATGGATATCAGCCAAGTACTGTACGCTAACCACTACACCTCGAACATCGATGGTTTCACATTATACATCGATGGGCTTCACTTCGTATCACTGCGGTAATGGTGTTCCTTTAAGAGAAGAGAGTGACGTCACGCCCCCCACTCTTTCGCAAATAGGTTCTCATCGGTTCCTGACCAGCCCCCTGAGATGCTTTTTTTAACCCACTATATAATATAGTTAACCCAGACTATCCAGAGGCCATTCCATCATGAAAAGATGTTCTGGCATTTGACCAATAGTATTAATAACTAATTGGTTAATGTACAGAAATTGAAGAAATTTCACTCTTTTACTGGTGTGTTTCTTTCTATTTTTATATGTTTGTAGGACACAAGAGTAGGCACTGAACTAGAGTATGTTATAGTAAGAAGAAATCAAAGAATACCACGTCCAGCCACAATTGAACTTTGGGTAAGTTAAAAAGTTAATTTTAAACATTCACATTTAGTTCTGCTCCAGCAGGTGTAAACTGGAAAACTTACTGTTAATATATAATAGTGGAATATATGACTTAGACTAGTGCATGTTATGAATGCAGCAAATGATACATACATTTTACTTTATTATGTAGTACCCATCTCCAACTTATAACATAACTTGTAACAGTTATAATTTAACATAACTGAAGGACTAAACTTAAATAAGTTATAATTCTAAAGATGAAAATCTACTTACATATTTGTCCAGTTTCGGATGAGGGTAGCCTACTTGCGGCCCTAGGCAAAACTGACCCGAGTGGCCCCCACCCCTTAGTAGGAAAAACTTCCCTGCAATTCAGCGAACTCATAAAAATCTACTGTGATCTCTAGGACATTGTTATCCGACATTATGGAGGATATCGTCGCTCGTGGCAAAATCACAAGGACATTGACATTATCACCCATATGATCGCGGCAAAATCGTGAACATCTCCCGCAATCACAGAAAATTCAAAGAATACAATACAATACAATACAATACAATATTCTTTATTGTTAATTCGTCAAGAATTACAATAGTGTCAATACAATAGTGAATTGTACATGTTAATTTTCATAAAATTCCTTTATTGAGTAGAAGGGTCTTGCGATTAGCCACTTCTTCAGCTCCTGGTGTAGCTTGTTGCCAGTCAGGTCTCTCAGGTAGTCAGGTAGATGGTTCCTCAGCTTGCAGCCGGTGTAGGAAGGTTTTTTTCTCCCAAAGAGTTGTTCGGTGAACTGGTAGTGCAAATTTGTTTTGCAAATGACGGGTGTTGTAGTGGTGCAGGTCTTGGTTTCTTGGGGGGTTTATTTCATTCACATACTTAATGGTTTCAAGTATGTAGAGAGACACCACTGTGAGGATTCCTAGGTTTACGAGTGCTAGTCTGCAAGTCTGTGGTGGTACAAGGTTGGCGAGGGCTCTTATGGCTTTCTTTTGAAGGACAAGAATTCGATTCATATTTTTTGTTGAAGTTCCTCCCCACACTGTCAAGCCATATCTAAGATGCGACTCTACCAGTGCGAAGTAAGCTGTTTTGGCCACAGAGAGTCCGCCTATGTAGTTTATCCTTCTGACGACATATATTCCAGTACTGATTTTTTTGCTTAGGTGGTTGATGTGCTCTTTCCATGTTAGTTTGTTATCAAGGATAACACCGAGAAATTTTGTGTAGTTTTCTATTGTTACATCCTCTAATTGAGGGACTATGTCTTTTTTCTTACTGAAATTCAGAGTTGTAGTTTTTGTGGGGTTTATTGCTAAGTCATTGTTCTTTGAGTAGAGGATAGCTTTATTTAAGATCGATTTTGAATTAAGGTAAAGGCTTTGGGCTGTGTTGTCCTTGATCAAAATGGTTGTGTCATCTGCATACATGATTGCAACAGCATTTTCACTCTCAATTTGTTTGGGGAAGTCATTAGTCAATAAGATGAATAGAATCGGGCCTAATACAGAGCCTTGTGGAACTCCTCTCGTCAGCTTGCTTTTTGAAGATTTGAAACTTTCTGTGACTTCATTTGATGAGTTTTTCAGTACCACGACTTGTGAACGTCCCGTTAGGTAGCTTTTGAACCATTCTAGCGCAGAGTTTCTTATACCGAGTCTTTCAAGTTTCTTGCATATCAGGTCGTGGCCCAGGCAGTCAAAAGCCTTACTGTAATCAAGGAAGATGGCGGAAATGTATTGTTCGTTTTCTATCTGGTCTAGGACGTACTCAATTAGTGCTGTTATAGCTGAGGATGTAGATTTATTCTTCCGAAAGCCATGTTGGTTGTCAGTTAAGAGTTTGTTATGATTAAGATGTGCCATTAATCTAGCCAGAGCAATTTTTTCTATGATTTTAGAGAAACTGGAGATGAGAGAAATGGGCCTGTAGTTTTGAGCATTTTCAGTTGGTCCTTTTTATGTTTGGGGTATATTTTACTGACTTTTATGGCGGATGGGAATTTGCCTTCTTTAAATGATTTATTTATAAGATAAACCAGAGGAGAGATGAGTTCTTGAGAGCAGTGCTTTATCATCTTAGAGGAAAACTCATCTATTCCACTTGATGTTTTGGCTTTTAGGGAGTTTATTATCGTTTTAACTTCTTTATAGGATGTTGAAGTTAGGGTAAGGTGTATTGGGCAGACTGGTTCCTCTCCACTCAGCACTGTTTCAGGGTCTATAACGATTGCTCTGTTTTGGTCAAGGGTATTTTCTGCTATATTTGAGAAGAATGTGTTGAAGTGGTCGGCCATTTCTTTTGTGTTGTTTGTGAGTTTGCCATTTATTTCTAATTCTGCAAGGGTTTTCTCTTCACATTTTCCTTTCCTTTCCTTGTTTATAACTTGCCATAGTGCTTTTGGTTTGTTGTCAGCTTGTTCTATGAAGCTAGCTGTTGAGGACATTTTTAGGTTTCTTAGTTTCATGTCGTATATCCTTTTTCTATTAATCATTTCTAATTTGTCTTCATTTCTGTTCGTTAACTCAAACTTTTGCAGAGCTTTCAAAAAGTTCTCTTTAAGGTATTTTGCTTCAGGATCGTAGTACTTCATATGTTTTTTGTTTTTAATAATTTTAGTTTTCTTTAATGGGCATGTATAATCCAGTGCTGTTTGAAGAATATTATGAAATTTGTTGTAGGAGGTTTCAAGATTGGGTGAAGAGTAAACATGTTCCCAATTTTGTAGATGGAGGTGGGCCTTCAGATTGTTTAGGTTTGTGTTGTTTAGGCTTCTTTTCATTACAAATCTTTGGGAAGTGTCTTCTTGGTGTGTTTTCAGCAGGCACAGCTGCGCAGTGTGGTCAGATAGACCAGTATGCACAACTTGTCCAGTAATATACGCACATGGTATGTTTGAGCATATACAGTCTATTGAAGTGGCTGTGTCATGGGTTATTCTGGTGGCCTCTAGAGGAAATCTCCAGATGTTTTGTGTGGTTAACTCTTCTTCCAGCATGGTGTTTTTGGAATCTTGGGTGAGCCTGTCGATATTTATGTCACCGATAAGTATTAGGTTTTTCTTGTGTACTTCTTGTAGTTCTAGCGTGTCTGATAGGAGGTCAAGGGCAATTCTTGCATTTTCGATTGGTGGTCTATAGATTCCCAGAATGTAGATATCCTTTTTCTTTGTTGTCTGCATGCGAATCATTGCTGTTTCGAAAATTAACTCCTGGCATGTGTTTGATATGTTAATAGCTGATACTGTATCAGCAAGGGATTCCTTGGAATATATTGCAACACCTCCAAGTTTATGTTCTTCTCTACTAAAGTGAGTAATTAAAGAGTAGCCGGGAATTTTTGTAGCTTCTAGCTCTGTTTTTTTCAGTCCGTGTTCAGTCAAGACTAGAATGCTTGGTTTTGTGTCATTGAGAATATGGTGTAGTCTGTTCGTCTTTGTAGCAAGTCCTCTAATATTTTGGTGCATTATTGCTACACAAGAATTATTTGGAGATTTGCAGATTTTTCTTTTGCTTTTTTCAGGCTGTTTGTTTCTAAAAAAGGGGTTATAGTATGGGGCACTGTAGAGTGATTAGATTGTTGACTTGAATTGGGTTCTTGCAGCTGCTCATGTTTCTGTTCTCCTTGAGAAGAGAGGCAGTCCATCTCGGTCATGTTTAGTCGCTTGGTGTGTGACAGAATATTCTTTTTATATAGGTCTATATTTTTCCAAAAGAAGTCTTCAATGGTCTCTCCCGGCTTAAGAAGCTCGGCGGTGATCGGGGGTTTCCCTGTGTTCTTTGGTTTAGTTGATTTGTTTGGGGGAGATATAGTGCCCTTGAAAGTAGAGCAAACTCCTTTTGGAATTTTGATGGCCTTGGGTTTTTTAATATTTTGATTTTGTGTTTGTTGTGGTTGACTTTGGTGTTCTGGTGCTTCTTTCCTCAACTTACTTTTTGCTATTTGCAAGGAAACACTGAAATGGGTTTTCTTAGTAGTTGCCAATTTGTTTTTATTATATGAAACTCGTCTTGGTGTGTTAATTGGCTTGCAAGGAGTCTCCTTTTTCTCAGTTATTAGTTGCTGGGAATCTTCTACTGTTATTTTATCTTCTAATTTCTTCATTTTTGACTCCATATTATTCTGTTTTTCTTTTAGGGCCTTTAGTTCAAGTAGAATTAGTGTTTCTGTGTTTGATGCTTCTAGATTTTTGTTGTCTGAAACTGTGGTTTTGTTTGTGAGGTCCTTCGCCTCTGTAGTGGTTGTCTGTGTGCTTGTCTCTCTGAATGATTTTGTAGATTCTTCTCCGGTGTTTATTCTGCTGCATGTATTTTTTTGCCTAAGGCATTTAATTTCATTCTCCATGTCCTTTATTTTTGTGTTGAAGCTATTAAAAGTTTCTTCCCTGTCTTTGTCATAATCTTCAAATGTTTTTGTGAGAGTGTTTCTCAGGCTTACTTCCTTTTCCAATTGGTGTTCTAGTTCAGTTATTGTTTCGATTAGGTCGTTGTTTCTAATTAGAATAGTATTTTTCTCATCTTCTAGTTGTTCAATTTGTGCGTGGTAGTTCATGATGTCGATGGTTTGTATGTTTGTTAGTTTCTGGGCCAGACTCGAGTTTTGTTGAGTCAGGTTGAGTACTTCTTCTCTTAGTTTGCTATTTTGTGCTAGAAGTGCGTTTCCAACTTCTGCTGCAAGTGTTAGAGAAGTTTCTAAATCGGGATCTTCTGAGTTTTCTAGTTCTAGAATTTTGTTTTCTACCTCGCCCATTTTGTTACCCTGACTTTCAGAGGATATTTGATTTGGGGGTGTGGGAGTTTGGTCTTCTTTTAGTTGTAACGCTGGCTTTCCAGAGGTGAGGGAAAGATCACTACAATTGTTACACCTCCATAGGAAAATGTCTTCTTTAGAAAGGTTTTTTAATTGTTTTTCTGTGATATTGACACATCCACCATGAAACCAGGAGTTGCAGGGACCAGTACATTTTATACTGGAGTATTTTACACCGATGTTGCATTCACCACAGGGATATTTTGAAACTTTTTTGTTCTTCGACATAGTTCAGGTGTAAAATTGTATCAGTTTTGAAAAGTTTGGCTGGTTCTTTATGTCAGGAATCTTGAGGTTCAGGTTAAAAATTATATCAGTTTTGAAAAGTTTGGCTGGTTCTTTATGTCAGGGGTCTTGAAGTTCAGGTGTAAAATTGTATCAGTTTTGAAAAGTTTGGCTGGTTCTTTATGTCAGGAATCTTGAGGTTTAGGTTAAAAATTATAACAGTTTTGAAAAGTTTGGCTGGTTCTTTATGTCAGGAGTCTTGAGGTTCGGGTTAAAAATTGTATCAGTTTTGAAAAGTTTGGCTGGTTCTTTATGTCAGGAATCTTGAGGTTTAGGTTAAAAATTATAACAGTTTTGAAAAGTTTGGCTGGTTCTTTATGTCAGGAATCTTGAGGTTTAGGTTAAAAATTATATCAGTTTTGAAAAGTTTGGCTGGTTCTTTATGTCAGGAATCTTGAGGTTCGGGTTAAAAATTGTATCAGTTTTGAAAAGTTTGGCTGGTTCTTTATGTCAGGAATCTTGAGGTTCAGGTTAAAAAATTATATCAGTTTTGAAAAAGTTTGGCTGGTTCTTTATGTCAGGATTAGAACTATTTAAATAAATAAATAAATTTATTTCTGTTGTCAAAAATTTGTGTAGAGTAATGAAGAATACAGTGTTGCACTGTATTACTGGTTGGTAGTAGGTTGTAGACACTGTTAGTGTCACTGTTAATGATGTTGAAGATGAGCTGAAATAAGCTTGGAACATGTACAGCATGAAATAACTTATATTGATACCTTCTGGCAAATTTATAAGTAGATTATCATCATTAATCTGAATATTAATAATAATAAGTGTCAAAAGACTGTTCAATTTGAAATTTTAGCTAGAATATTTACAAGAATGTTAATTACATAAAACCACTAATTGACTATACACAGACTCTGTGTATAGTCAATGATAGAACTTGTTTGAACAGTGTGAGTATTTTCATTAATTACATAATCTCTTAGTTTAGTCTGATACACCTTATAGTGCAACCTGTTATGAGAGTAATTGTTTTGAAATAACTGTCATAATGCTTGGTAATTGCTCGATATTGAGTGACACTCAGTGGCGGTTCCAAGGAGGGGCTACAGGGGCTAAACCCCCCCCCCACCATTGGACCATGGAAAAATAAATGTAAACATATATTTAGTCTTTAAAACGTGCAATATCATAAAACAACAGCAATGCAGTTTTTACCAAACTAATAAGTGATGGCAGGGTAATAGAGAAACTTTATGGGGTAATAGCACCAGGTCTGGCGAGAGCCGTAACGGGCCTCTGGGCCCCTTATTTTCCTGAATAAGTGTCCAGCCACCTCCGTGCCGTTTTGTTACACATTTAACAGTACATATCTAAAATTCATGATAGTTTGATGTTTGATTAATTCTCGTGCTCACAGTTGCTACTTTATTCCAGTCAAAAACTACTAAGTGAACTGGAAAACCATGCAAAAATTTTTGACTTAAGCAGATTACATGTACAGAAAATATTTTACATTTGACTGGGCCGGACCCCTTCAGAACTCAAGGCTCCGGGGCTCTGCCCCCCCCTGCCCCACCGTCTAGCCGGTCCTGAATAGCACGACGAATAAAACAATATTACGCCAAGTTGTCAAATTTTACAATTACGCATCATCAAATTTTTCCAGCAGTCAGCTGTTGACATGCTAGGCCGCTAGGCCAAAGGCGAGCGCCAAGCAGACAGCGTGGATAGGGAAACAGCCGATTTCATGTTCCTAGTTGTCAAATTATCTGCCAGCTACTAACTTAACACAGGCATCAGTCATCAGCGGTTGCGCCAGTAGCCTATTTTCTGACTATCTATCATGGGTTGTCTACTGTGAAAAAAGTTTGCTGCTGCTGTTGGCTACTATAAATGTTTTATGTAGTATCAAACACTGCAACAGATCTATGCAATGGAGAAAATCATAAGGATAACAAACTTGTCTTCTACTTTGCATGACATAGAACATAGAACAAGTGAAATAGAGGAGGTCTTTGGACAGTTAGACACAGTTCCAGACGTTAAACATGGCTTTATAAAGTCACCAAACGGCTTTAGGAGATATGGCCGTAGTCTACTGCATACACAGAATGTTTTGAAATTCATGAATGCAAGTTCGTCATAGTTTCATTTTTAAAACTAGTGTACCTGTTGCTCGAATTCGAGCAATTGTTAAGTATTACAGGCGTTATTTTTAACAGTCTTTATTTCTGATGACTTTTAAAGATTCAACTCAAAGATTATGAAAATACTTAAAATGTACATAAAAGATCGATATAATCAACATTTCTTGTAAATATCTTATCATATTTCAAAAGCTGATCTTGTTTTTTAATGTTTTCTACAAATAGCCTTACTCATAGCCGCATTAGGTTGTCCATAATAACGATTATAAATATGAAAAAAAAACATTATTTCTATTTCTTCTCCTTGGTGGTGGTGTATGACTTTCCTATCCTACTAATATTATAAATGAGAAAGTTTGGATGTATGGATGTATGTATGTTTGTGACAAGTAAACGCAAAACATACTGGTCGGATTGGGCTAAAATTTGGTGTGATGATAGCTCACATTCCCGATTAACATATAGACACATTCTTATCTAAAAAGTCCTTTCTGGCTCCGCCCCAGTGGCTCTGGACTTTCCCATGTTAACCTTATGAGTATTCATATTTAAAAGGAATAAAAGCATTTTGTCAGCTGTTTAAGTTGGTTCTATGATATTAAATAGCATTATCAAGTTATAAGGTTTACCAACAGGGTGCAGTACTATTAAATTTAATATAAAACTTCATTATATAATATTTTTTTTTTTATTTATGTCAATGGATACTAAAGTGCAGCCGAATTTTGTTTCTAAAAGCGTTAGTGGATGTGTAACTTTTTTATACAACAAATGTAAAGATCAAAATGTTTCTATTTTGTGTCCTCTTCCCGTTGCAAAGCACGGTACAGCAGCTAGTGTTTCCATAGTTTTCCAAATCGGCTCTTTCAATGATTACTAAGAAATGCAGCACAGTGTTAATTCTGTTGTCTTTTTAGTATATCAAATTATCCAGGATCTCTCGCTTTTTTTCCATTGTAATATTTACCCCAACCCAAATTCAAATTGTAAATATTTAATTTCAACCATGTCAGTAGATGTTTGTAGCAAACTGTAGCAAACTTACTGACTGTTTACAATTATCATATGTTCTTTTTCTCACTTTTAATTTTTGACAACGGCTGGAGTTTCCATGTTAATCTTATGGAGAAATACGAAACTTTAAAGGGCCCCAGGGCCTCACTCTCTAATTATTTCCCTAAAAAGAAAATTTCCTGCACAACTTCACGTTAAGCTCTTTCCAATGACACCAAAAACATGTCAATCGGTTCAGTAGTTTCGGAGGAGTAATTGTCACAAAAAACTTGATTGTGTATTAAATAAAAGTATACATAATTAAGTATATAGATATAGATGTCGACTTGCTCAAGACAAATAACAGGTGAAATGGAAGTTTTTGGACAATTGGACACAGTTTTATGCGTTAAAGCTATAGAAATTCGCCAATTGGCTTTGAAAATACAAAAATACCCGAACTGCCCTTCCTTATACCACCACCTTATAAAGAACCACCACCTTATACCCCACTTTAAATTCCACACCCCCCAAGCCCCCGGTAGCTGACAAGGTCCTAGAACCGCCACTGGCAACACTAACACTGGTATTACTAATCCTGTCATTATTTTTACTTTGATCTGCCATACAGAAAGATGTTAATGGAAGCTATCTCCAGCCAGCTCCTGAATTCCGTCTTGTTCAGAGTTCGAAAAAAGAAACATCAACGGGCCTTATCAAATTAGCTCAGTCATTGGATTATGAACTTCAGACAATGTACAGATTGTCAATTTATGCTCTGGTAATTTGTATTACATAATTTTTGTTTGATTAGTACAGTATGCCTAAGTTTAGTCACTAGTCTTCATCATATTTTTTTAGTTATATTCCATTCACAAAATTTAGATGGTTTGAGGGGAAGCGATTCCATCCCCTCCAACTCACCCTAATGTTGAAACAACAGTCCATAGCTGATCAGCTTACAGAAAGATTAAGCTAAAAAAGTGGAACAGGGAAGACCAGAAACCTTCCCCTTAAACCACCTAAATTTTGTACCTATAGAATTGCTAAATTGCTAACTATAGATTAGCAAATTAACTTGCACAAAATAAGGATGAGTGCTTTCCTATAGATATTCTTAACCCTATAAATACATATAGCGTATTTAGGAGTAATTAAATATTGAAAAAGGTTAATGCAGTCCTGATCATAAAAAACACCCATTTAAGTTTTCAGTATGTAATTTGTGAAACTTTGCAATTGCTGGTTTTACAATAGTCTTAGGCTAGGCGCACACGAGCGATTATTTTGAGGCGACTATTTCATCGGCCGATCTGTGCATCATGTATTTGAATGGAAGCGCGCACACAGGCAATCGAGAACTGCGCCGATTTTAAAATCTGGGTTTTGCCACAGATTCGTAGGCGAGGCGATTGTCGCCCGAAAATCTGTAACTTACAGATTGTTATCAGTCCGCGCACACGGTCGACTAAAAAATCGGCCAGTCGCTTGTTATTCTCCACAGGAGTAGTGTGAGTTGTGTTGTTTTCTATGCTGAAAAGGCCACAGCTGTTAAAATAAAAACTGAAACTTTCAACAGACATTCTATAGTAATTAAAGAACTTTTTACTGTCATCACGTAAAGTGTATAGTTTATAAAACTGTTGATTTAAAAGTCTCTGACTTACTATCGGATTAACCCAATATTAAAGTTCTCTTCTTTTTTTCATGGTCTAATTAGAAGAACACAAACACAGGTTAATTCAACAAAGTCCATTTTAGGATAGCTTAAATGCACTCAAAAAATCCATTTCTCGACTAAAATATCGCCACGTGTGCGCCTAGACATAAATTAAGGGCGATTTATTTTTGGCCGATTTTTTAATCGGCCGATCGAAAAATCGACGGTGTGCGCCAGGCCTTACAGCAACCTATTACTAGAAACAATTATACAGGGTGAGTTTTAAATGAGTTTCCCCCCTACTTTTTTCTACATTTCTTAAGATATCAACTCCGGACCATGTCAGATCATTTAGAGTAGTGAGTACTTCATTTTGACTGGGTATAAATTTTTGGCTGCCATCTTGGATCCACCACATTGCACACAATTTTTTTTTATGTAAAGGAAGAGTTGTGACCCATCGATTCAAACTAGATTTTTACGCTGAATACGATGCTGCAATCTATTTAGAATAATAAAAGATCCATTCTAAAGTTATGAGAACTTTTATAATTTTATATTTAGCCCATTTTAACATTGTGCATTTACAAACTAAGACCATAATCTCAAAATAATGCTAGATAAAGATAAGTATACACCACCATTCATTGTCGACCTATTTTCACTTGGTTATGACGTATGTATTTTTTTCGGCCGCCATCTTGGATCCGCCATTTTGAAATGTGATAAATTATTTTAAATATGAAGGTGGTGTTGTCACCCATCATTTTGAAATACTTTTTTATGCTGAACTCAATGCCGCAATACTGTTTTTGTTATCAAGATTTCTTGATGAAATATTACAATAATTTTATTTAAAATGTCAATATTTCAAAAACCAAATATGAAAATTAAAAAATGATTGCGGCATTGAATTCAGCGTAAAAATGTAGTTCAAAATGATGGGTCAAAACACCACCTTCATACGGTCAGTTGTCTCAGCCTTATCAATTATACATACATTTTTCAATATAATCTCTCTTCGGAATGTTAGGTGTAGTTGAATATACTTGTAGTGAACCTGGCTTTTATTCTTGTCTGTTAGGGGCCTCGTTCATATGTTCGTGCGGCTTCATTGGCAAAAAATAATGCAAATGACAACGCAATATGCTGCATTTCCAAAAAGCATATACTTTCTGTTATGTGAATAGCGACGTTTACATGCATTGTTGTTAATCAACAAATGTTGTAAAGGATGATGAGATCTAGTTTAAAGGAAACATGACCTTCCTGTGACAGCAGCTGCCTAAATGGCAATTACTCTTGGTGCCAATTTTTTTTACAGTCGAAGTGCAGTGTTGTTTAAACATGTAATCCAGTAGCTGTAAACCACTTAGTTTAACAAAATATGGACACGGCTCATACGTGCCCTTCTGCACTTATTTTTTTATATTGAATAATTGAAAACATGTGTGAAAATAATCTTTTGAACCTATGATGATCTGTCTTGAATAATATGACAAAATATAGGCAAAAGTGGTCAAAAAGGCAGACACCAACCCGTACAATAGATATAAGATAAATATATGCAAAAGTGGCAAAAAAGGCAGCAACCAAACCTTACAACAGATATAAGTTAACTCGATAAGAAATAGTTTCAAGTGTTACTGTGATATTACGATTTTCCACTGATTTCGTAATATAACGTTATATTACAAAACATGACATGATGCAGAGGAAAATCAATGTTAAAATAAAAAAACCTTGCTAATAGATCATTTTGACAAACTCAGTAACTCCCTATTATATATATATAAATATTGTTTTTTTACTTTATTTAATTTACAATCTGTTCAAGTTGAACAATAAGCAAATCATATAAACTAGTGTACCTGTTGCTCGAATTCGAGCAATTGCAAAGCATTACAGGCGACTCAAAGATTATGGAAATACTCACGATCTACCGGAACACAACAGTTAGATATAATCAAAATCTTTTGTAAATATCTTATCTTTTTTCAAAAAGCTGATCTTGTTTTTTTTTAGTGTTTTTAGTGTACAAAAACATTATTTCTACTTCTTCTACTTGGTTGTGTTCTATGACTTTTTCTATGTTTCCATTGTTTGCAAATCGGTTATTTCAATGATTGCTCAAGAAATGTAGCACAGTGTTAATTCAGTTTTATTTTTAGCCTATATCAAAATTGTCCAGGATTTCCATTGTAATAATTACACCAACCCAAGTTTCGTCTACAGATGCAATATGCCAAAGAACATCACCTACCTACGTACAATCTCCAAGAAGTGGTAAAAACGGCAGAAACCAACCAATACAATAGATATAAGTTAACTCCATAAGAAATAATTTCAAAAGTTACTGTGATATTAGGATTTTCCACTGATTTGGTAATAGAACATTATATTGCAAAACATGATACGATGCAGAAGAAAATCAATTTTAAAATCAGAAAAATCCATTGCATATACTCTACTTCATTTTGACAAATTCAATAAATCACAATTTAAATATTAACAGCTGTTGCATTAGAAAGTAGTGTAGAATTATGCATATGGTCGTACTGTAAACAAATCTGAAGAGGCAACTTTAAAGGCTTCTGGGGCAGAGCCCCAAGGGTATTTACCTCTTTCCTCTTTTGATGGCTCATCTACAGACCAAGACCTTTCTTTAGAGACCCCTACCAAGTTTCTACGCCCATCCGTTCTTTCAAATTAGCTGTGACAAAAACCCCGTTTTCCTCCATAAGAATAACATGGGATGGGAATTTAAAGGCCACGGGGGCAGAGCCCCAAGGGAATTTACCACGTTTCTCTTTTGATGGCTCATCTACAGACCAAGACCTTTCTTTAGACACCCCTACCGAGTTTCTACGACCAGCCGTTCTCTCAAAATAGCTATGACAAAGAAAAGCAGTTTCAAATTAATATATAGATAATAATACAACATTAACTTGAAGAAAATGAGCTAGTGATTGACCACTGTCAACACTAGCTAACAAAGAGAATTTTGATAACACTTAGCCGAATCTGAATGGGAGGTCCAATATCGTATGTCGCTTCAGTCTGTAAATGGTGTTGAGAAAAGGCCAATAAATTAAGTGCAAGATGATTTGAATGATTTTCCAATTTTATAATGTATTTTTCACTAGATTTTGTAATTTATTCTTGGACTGTTCGAATTTGAAGATCATTATGAAGTGTTCTGTTGGTAACAAACCAATAAGGTGCGTTGACTATTTTACGTAATAATTTTGATTGGTAATGTTGAATAATTTCAATGTTTGAGGTACTTGCTGATCCCCAAAGCTGAATACCATAAGTCCAAATAATTGGTTTTAGAACTGTCAAGGCCCTGTTTCATTTAGTGTTAAACCACGTCAAACCCAAATAACATGCATTTGATATAGGAAAATTTGGTATTTTGTTATTTACAAAAAAACTCTAAGAGATACGAAGTAAGTGTAAACTTCAAAGTTGTTATGAATTAAAAAACCTATAAAATGATGTGCCACTTGAAATATGTTGCTATTTAAAAATTTTGAACAATGAGCATTTGCAAATTTAAAAAAATATTATTTTTTTATTTTTATTATTCTAAAAAACCTTGTAGCATAATAATGTAAAGATAATTTAATAACAAGTAAGAAAATTCAACCGGAGAAGGGCTAAGTGCATTGGTATAGAAACACAGAGTATTAAAAAGATATAGATCTTTAAAAAAAAAAAAATGCTGTCATTTTGAAACGGAAAAAGATAAATAATTTCTGTTTTCACCAAAATGTTTGTATATTAAATACCTTTAAAGTGGTGTATGACATGACATATGTTTACATTTTACAATTCCGAGATTTAAATTAGTGATCCTCAGTTTTTGGCACACCCTGTATCGGGAAAAAGTTAAAAATATGTTTATGTTATTCCTTGAGGTCAATGTAGTGGAAAATAATTTTATATAATCCTTGTAGGTTAAGCGGTTTTTCCGTAATCAATTTGAGACACCTCTCGTGAGACACCCTGTACAGTACAGATTAGCCCCATGTTAAATCTCTAGAAGAACAAGAAAAATTTAATTTCCATTTTGACCCAATTAACATAAATATTTTCCAAATACAAATAAAACCTGC